TATTATACCACGTGCATAGATTAACAATTTCGAAAAGAGAAGGAAACTACCAAAATCAGCACAGGGGTTGTACCAATATTCCAGATGCTTTCTGAAGTGTATCATGGTATTTTTGGTTGTTGTGGGAACTGGGAGGGCCAATACTGGTATTTAGTAAATGAGAGCTATGGATGCCCAATGTCCTGAAAAGTATGTAGCTGATTCACACAAGAAGTGCTGTCCAAGATGTCAGCAGAGAAAATGGGTAAACAAAATCACTAATAATGGCCAACCAGTAGGCAAACACCAATGTCTGACACAGAGATTTACAGTGGTGAAAGACATTATCTTCATCTGTAAATAGATTATGCTCCAGAGTAAGTCACAGACAACTAAAGAAACTATTTAAAAACATTAACTTTACTGAAGATTTTTTTAAGTCGAAAACACAGAATTAGGGAAGAAGGAAGAACATTAACAGTTAATAGACACCATTATACTAGGTGTTTTCATAAACTGCCTTATCAATAAAACCAGTTGATCATTTTAGTCTTCCAAAATATTGAAATAGTTGAATTACACATGCTTAGGTAACCCCAGTCAGTAATAAGAATTATTTAAACCAGAAAATATTAAAATTTTTAGCTCAAAAGACTGGCCTATGAATCTACTCCTCTGAGTGTGTGAGTATACACACCACATCTTTATCCACTCATCTATTGATGGACAATTCCATATTTTACCTAATTATAAATAAAGCTGCAATAAACAAGGAGTGCATATATCTTTTTGAATTACCATTTTCATATTCTTTGTGTAAATACTCAGTAGTGGAATTGCTGGGTCATATGGAAATTCTGTTTTTAATTTTTTGAGGAACCTCCATACTGTTTTCCACAGTGACTGCACCATGCTGAATTCCCAACCGGCAGTGTGCGAGGGTTCCTTTTTCTCCACATCCTTGCCAACACTCCCTTTTGGTCTTTTTGATGTTAGCCATTCTGGCAGGTATGAGGTGATACCTCACTGTGGTTTTGATTTGCATTTCCCTGATAATGAGAGATGTTGGGCATCTTTTCGTGTGTCTTAGAGCCACCTGTATGTCTTCTTTGGAAAAATGTCTATTCAGATCCTTTGTCCATTTTTTTAAATTTTATTTATTTATTCATGAGAGACAGAGAGAGAGAGAGAATGAGAGAGAGAGGCAGAGGGAGAAGCAGGCTCCATGCAGGGAGCCCGACGTGGGACTCGATCCCGGGTCTCCAGGATCACACCCTGGGCTGAAGGCGGCGCTAAACCGCTGAGCCACCTGGGCTGCGCCCTTTGTCCATTATTTTATCAGACTGATTTTTTTTTTTTTTTTTGGTGTTGAGTTGTACTAAGTTCTTAATTCTTAATACATTTAGACATTAACTCCTTATCAGATACATCATTTGCAAATATCTTTTATCATTCAGTAGGCTGTCTTAGTTTTGTTGACATTTCCTTTGCCACAGAAAAGCTTTTTATTTTGGTGTAGTCCCAACAGGTTGATTTTGCTCTTGTTTCCCATGCCAAAGGAAAGATATCTAGCAAAGTGTTACTATTGCTGATGTCCAAGAGACTATTAATGTCTATGTTTTCTTCCAGGATATTTATGGCTTCAGGTCTCACATTTAGGTCCTTAATCCATTTTGAGTTTACTTTTGTGTATGATGTGAGAAAGTGGTCCAGTTTCATTCTTCTGCATGTAGCTGTCCAGTTTTCCCAAAACCATTTATTGAAGAAATCTTTTCCCACTGTATATTCTTACCTTGTTTGTCATAGATTAATTGATCACCAAAGTAGGAGTTTGATCACCGAAGTAGGAGTTTATTTCTGAACTCTCTATTCTGTTCCATTGATCTGTGTTTCTATTTTTGTGCCAGAACCATTCTGATTACTACAGCTTTATAATATATCTTAAAATCTGAGATTGTTTTGTTCTTTTTCAAGAGTGCTTTGGCTATTTGGGCTCTTCTGTGGTTCTATACAAATCTTAGATTATTTGTTTCAGTTCTGTGAAAAACACTTGGTATTTTGATAGGGACTGCATTGTATCTGTAGATTGCTTTGGGCAGTATGGACGTTTTAATAATATTGGCTCTCCCAACCCAAGAACATGGAGTATCTTTCCCTTTGTTAGTGTCATCTTCAATTTCTTTCATCAGTGTTTTATAGTTTGCAATACAGGTCTTTCACTTCCTTGGTTAAGTTTACTTCTAAGCATTGTATTCAATTTACATGTTCTTTTCAAGTACCCTTTTTTGGTACTTGATTCAGAACTTCAAGGTTATGTGATGTGGCTCTTTTAAGCTATATTGATTACAGATAGAAGTATAGGCCAATCTTTCCTTTGGAGCTAAAAAGTATATTTTCTGGTATAATTTTTATTACTGCTGGGGTTACCGAATTATGTATAATTCAGCTATATCAACAATTCAGGGCAATTATAAACAATTGTTTTCTTCATTTCTCTGCTACTTCATTATTAGTGTACAGAAATGCAAGATTTCTGAATATTAATTGTGTAACCTGTGACTTTACTGAACTCATTTGTCAGTTCTAATAGTTTTTAGTGGAGTCTTGGATTTTCTATATATAGTATCATGTCATCTGTAAACAGTGAAAGTTTAACTTCTTCCTTACCGATCTGAATGCCTTTTAATTTTTTTTTTCTTGTCTTACTGCTGTGTTAGGACTTTCAGTAATGCATTGGATAAAGACAAGAGAGTAGACATCCTTGACTCTTCCTTTTCATTTTTTTTAAGGATTTTGTTTATTTATTCACAAGAGACAGAGACAGAGACAGAGAGAGAGAGAGAGAGAGGCAGAGACACAGGCAGAGGGGGAAGCAGGCTCCATGCAGGGAGCCCGATGTGGGACTCAATCCCGGGACTCCAGCATTATGCCCTGAGCCGAAGGCAGGCTCTAAACCACTGAGCCACTCAGGAATCTCCAACTCCTTCTTGATCTTAGAGGAAAACCTCTCAGTTTTTCACCATAGAGTGTGATGTTAGCTTTGTGTTTTTCACATAGGCCTTTATTATGTTGAGGTAAGATCCCCCTAAAACTATTTTGTTGAGTTTTTATCATGAATAGATGTTGCACTTTTTGTCAAGTGCTTTTTCTACATCTACTGAAATGATCATAAGGTGTTTACTCTCTTGTTAATGTGATTTATCACATCGATCAGTTTGTGAATATTGAACCACCCTTGAATGCCTGGTAGAAATCCTTCTTGATCATGGATTTTAATGGATTGTTGGATTCAGTTTACTAATATTTTGTTGAAGATTTCTGCATCTATGTTCATCAGATACTAGCCTATAGTTCTTTTTTGCAGTATATTTTGGTATCAGGGTAATGCTGACCTCATAAAATGAATCTTGAAGTTTTCCCTCACCTTCTAATTTTTGGAATAGTTTAAGAAGAACAAGTATTAACTCTTCTTTAAATATTTGGTAGTATTTGCCTGTGAAGCCATCTGCTCCTGGACTTTTGTTTGTTGGAAGTTTATTGATTACTATTCAATTTCTTTGCTAGTAATCAGTCTGCTCAAATTTTCTTTTTCTTTCTGATTCAGTTTTGGTGGGCTAAATATTTCTAAAAAATCATCTATTTCTTCTTAGCTGTCCAATTTGCTGGAATATAATTTTTCATAATATTCTTTTATAATCCTTTATATTTCTGTGGTGTAAGCTGTTATTTCTCCTTCATTTCTGATTTTATAGGAGTCCTTTTTTTTCATAAACTAAAGGATTATCAATTTTATTGATCTTTTCGAAGAACCAACTCCTGGTTTCATTGATCTATTATACTTTTTCTTCAGTCTCTATGTCATTTATTTCTATTCTAATCTTTATTATTTCCTTCCTTCTACTGGCTTTGAGCTTTGCTTGTTCTTTTTCCAGCTCCTCTAGGTGTACGGTTAGGTTGATTATTTGTGATCTTCCTTGCTTCTTAAGGAAGGCCTGTATTGCTATTATCCTCCCTCTTAGAACTGCTTTTGCTGCATCTCCAAAATTTTGGCATTGTATTTTCATTTGTTTCCATGTATCATTTGATTTTTTCTTTGACTTCTTAACCAAGGCCCATTCATTATTTAGCAGCATGTTGTTTAACCTCTATGTATTTGTGCTCTTTCCGAAGTTTTCTTGTGACGGATTTCTAGTTTCATACTTTGTGGTTGCAAAAAAGCATGATAGGAATTCTTTTTGAATTTGCTGAAACTTGTTTTGTGACCTAAGGTGATCTTTCCAAAGAATGTCCCATGTGCACTTGAAAAGAATTTGTATTCTTCTCTTTGGGGATAGAATGTTTCTGAATGTTTCTGTTAGATCCATCTGGCTCACTGTATCCATCAAAACTACTGTTTCCTTACTGATTTTCTGTCTGGATGATCAGTTCATTAATGTTAAATGTGGGAGTTCAAACCTACCTAAAACATGTATTTTTAAGATATTATCACTGAAGTGTAACACTTCCAAAAAATCCATTGAAAAGCACTGATCATATTATTTATTCAAACAGCTACCACCACTTCCACTCAGCAGATTATTTATTGCAGCACTAGTATATCACCATTTTCATTACTTAATATAAAGACTTTCTTCCACATCACCCTCTACAGATACAAAATACCAATTTAGACAGAAATCTAGGGGTCATACACATAGGCAAAAGCAATTGTGAAGGGCCTTATATAATATCATTTCCAAGGAAAAAGGCACAACCTTGAAGACATGACCCACAGAAGCATCTCACAAAATTAATCAGTTCACTATTAGTTTTACTATAAGAAAGAAAAATTAAAAAACTAACAATGGGCAGTAACAAATAAAAACCTAGTGGTTCTATTGCAGTACAACATCATAAGCATTCAATTATCACTATAAAAATTAACCTATTTCTTAAGAAGTGCAGGACAAAATTACCAAGAGTATATAATTGAAAATGTGAGTATGTGAAAATAAAGTACAGAAATAAAGTGAAATACCTACTGCCAATGCCTTGGACAGTTTGGCTCTGAATTCATTCAGGACGATTGCCACAATGTCTCTAAGTGGTACATAAGCAAAGCCACCTTCCAAATAGACTTTCCTTCCTCGGAACAAATCCAGAGCATCAGCAAAAGGGATCTGAATTCACAGTGAAACAGGGAAAATAAGTCAGTACCTGTCATGAAATTTTTCTAAATCCTATGTACTAAGTCTAAACAAAATTCCTAGAGAACTTAATCTGTCCCAGCAGATCAAAAAAAAACAAAAACAAAACAGCTCATATTCCTTAAAACTGAATAATAAATATTGGGAAAATGCCAGTCCAAAAATGTGCTAATTTCAGAGTAGATGCTTTGAAAAATATAAGCCAAGTTCAAATGCATTATTTTTATTTTTTTTATATTTTTATTCTTAACTCATGAATTTACAAATTATAATCTTCAGGATTTTAAACTCTCAATTCAAGCCATCTAAGCATATTGCATTCCCCTCATATGACATATCCCACAATTTTATTCTGCACCAATTATGTGTATATAATATGTTCAGTGCTGAAAATTACTAGTAAAGTAAACTTCTTCATCTGTTTCCATTCTTTCACTAGAAAAATACATTGGACAAGCTAATCTCAACACCAAGAAATGGAAATAATAAATGTTCAGTTCCACTACTGAAGTACTTACCAGTAAATATCATTTGAAAAATATAATACTTCACTTGCATTTTTTAAAATCCTAAGAACTATTCTAAAATTTTAATGATATGAGAATATGGTATGAGTAAACTGAAAATCATCCTCACTCTCCATTATAGTTCTTCTTTTTAAAAATGAAGTAAAAAAATTAGGTGAAAGAAATGATACCCAAATTGCCTAGTCACCCAAGGTTTAAAGAGGAGTTAAATCTACATGCCTAAGTAGCATATAGGTGGCACAGTTGATTAAGTATCCAGCTCTTGGCTTCAGCTCAGGTAGTGAGCTCATGGGTCATGGGATCAAGCCCAGAGTCAGGGTCTGCACTCAATGGAAAGTATGCTTAGACTCTCCCCCTCTGCCATCCCCCAACTCAGGCACTCTCTCTCTCCCTCAAATGAATAAATCTTAAAAAAAAAAAAAAAAAAAAAAATATATATATATATATATATATATATACACACACGCCTAAGATTCTTCTACATATCTAATAACACCACCCAATAAACAGATCATGTTTTTTTTTTAACAGATTTCTAGGACTACAACAGAATCCTAAAGAAGTTCATCACTTAGTTGAGAAAACAAGACAGACAAACATGGAAAGTCAAACAGCTCTACAGGGTGGTATGTGTATGACACAGCACCAAACAACAGTCATACAGAACGTATTAGAGGAGGAGGAGAGAGGTTTTATTTCAATGATCCAGGCAAGAGGTGGGGATAGTTTGGAAACATAAGTTCTTAGTTCAAACTCTGTGACTGACCAGACTTATGATTTCTATACATTTAGTGAATGCTTCTAAATTTCAGGAGGGAAAGGGAGAGAGATGGAATAAATGGCCCTTAGGGGTTCTTAGCTCTGATATTCCATGATTCTAGCTTATTAAGGTGGCCACAGTGGACATAAAAATGCCCAAGCAGGAGCAAAAAATGGAGTAAAGGCAGAGTAATGGGAAATGTGTGGTGTAGGAAGAATAAATATTGATTCCCATATTCTAAGTTTGGGAAACTGACCGAATGATGGCCTAAATGGGAGAAATAGAGAAGCTAATGTGGAAGCAGGAATTTAAACTACTGGCACTCACCAACAATAACCAGTACATCCTTTTCAAAGGAAATTGTGGGGTTACAGCTATCAAATTTTAAAATTAACTTCCACTCTTCCCCTTCCCCTTCTGGAATTACTCAGTCCAAAAGCTTTCAGTTTGTTCAAGCAAATTAGCTATCTGTGCTGAGGAAAAGAGGGCAGCAGAGATGGCCCACTTCAAGATGCCAGCACCTGAGTAGGTCCAAGAAGGTCTTGCCAGAGGAAAGCAAAGAGGCAGACAGCGAAAGAGCCCAAATGGAGTAAGAAAGAGCCTAGGTGAGGAAGACAGTCTAAGCGTGGCATCAGGGCCCAAGAGTGGTGAAAAAGGCTATCACACAGAGCAGTGATCCAGGACAAGGTGTTAAAGCCCAGCGGGTGAAGAAAATATCCCTGCAGGGGCAGCTCAGCATGGTGTGGAAGCCTAAATATTGTGAGAAGAGTATTCCTTTAAGAAAATGGCCTGCTTTGGTGGGGTCAGAGTCCAAACAAGGTTAGAAGGGTATGTAGGCTATGTAGGACAGTCCAGCACAGGATGTTAGCACACCCTCAGGGGGGTGAAGATGAATTCTACATAGCAAAGGGAGAAGCTGTAGTGGCCAGATGCCATATGACTGGGTTAATTACATATGCATATAAAGCTCAACATTATATTTAACAAAACCTAGGAAGTATTTTAAAAGTTTACATACCTTATAAACTGACTCTGAATCCAAATCCAACTTAGACCCACACAAACTGGGTGATGAAGCAAGAATCTCCTGTTCTCGGAGACTCTTCTCATCATCACTTATCTAAAAGGAAATATATTTTATACTGTTTAAAAAATTAAAGTTCTGTAAAAGAAAGAAATTAAAAGTCTTCATTCAGTTCCAATAAAATACTTTCCTGTTCTAGTAAGGATTCTTCACTTTTATTAAAATGTTAAAATCCTGGTAATCTCAAATCATTACTATGATTAAGAAAGCCAATATATGAAAGAAAAGTTAATTTCAATAAACTTACAAATTTCTGCTCTGCCAATTTCTGAGAACATATACCAAAAGAACAATAACAACAACAACAAAACACACAAAAGGCAGTAGGAAAGAAATTATAATAAAAACTCAGGTTAATATAAACTAAAAAGGACCATAATCTCAATTCAAGAGTTAATTTATTAAAATACATATTTGCAATTAAAAGTGGTTTAACTATTTCTCAATTTTCTAGCCATATAAAAACAACTTAAAACATCAGCTTTTCTATAGGAACGACTATAGATCTACTATCTCAGACCGATTACATCTTAAAAAATAAAAAGATTGATCTGACTAGAAAAAATTTCAAAATTCCACAGAGAAAAAGAAAAAAAATCTGTAAATGAAGATAAAGTATAAACTAAACACTGAGGAATATATTTATATCATTTAACACCCAGGTTACTCTCAAAAAAAACCCCAGGTAGTAGTAGGATGTACATACTAGTAATCTAAAAGCAAAACAATGGACAATAATCACGTAAGTGACAAAAATAAAAATAAATTAAAAGTCTACTCTTTTCTAATTGTCAAGATAATCAACAGCCGTTGTAGCTTTCCTGATCACTTTTATAGTATTCTACATTAGTTAGGATTGGCTAGGTTATGGTGCAATAACAAATTTTAAAACTTTTAGTGGCTTAACAAAAAAAATGGTATTTTCTGCTTTTCTGCATGTCCACGTGGGCAGTGAAGAAGCAGCAGCAGGAAGGAGGAATGTTTCACCACCAGTGCTTCTCACCAAGCAACCAGATGGCTTAGGGAGGCTCCAATCTCCTACATGATAGAAGGAACATGAATGGCAAACTGGTTCTTCCTAAGAGTTACACAGGTCAATTCCACTCACATGTCATTGACAAAAGCATATCATATAAGCATGCTATCTTCAAAGGAGCCAAGAAGTAGAATTCTACTTTGCCAGAAAAAAGAGAACCCAAATTTACTCGTGAACAGTATCAATGATTACTGCAATCCATTCTCCTAGTCACCAATTTACAGTTAACTGAACTTATGCTACAAAATACATTCACTCCTATCACAAGTGAGACAATCTAAAAGTTCTATAAAGTAATGGGCATTAATCTCAAAGTTCAGCCAGCATCTGTGGATAATGCTTGATAGTCCCTATATTAGAAGATGATAAAGCTCTTGTTATAAGATAAAGTACCCTCTCCACTTACACACACACACACACACACACACACACCACATACACTCAATTAATAGTGTGATAACACTGGCAGAATGACCATGGTAAACATTCCTATTTAGAAAAGGGCAGGTGGGGGCGCCTGGGTGGCTCAGTTGGTTACAAGTCCAGCATCTGGCTCCCTACTCATTAGGGAGGCTACTTTTCCCTTTCCCAGACTCCCTCACTCCCTCTGCCCCTCCCCCAGCTCGTGCACATGCTCTCTCAAATAAACAGTCAATAAATAAATAAATAAATGCATCTTCTTTAAAACACAGATTAATATATATAAACTCAAGTTCAAATGAAAGTGGAGTATCTAACAAGAGATCCCACTGCTCAAATGTCATCTGTGAAATCCCAAGCCCTGAACTTGTAAGGTGGTCTCTGAGTCAAATACCCCAGACACCTGGTAGAAGCAAACTCAAATCTTTTCTCTGAAGGAAAGCACATTCCAGTATACCTCAAAGGATTCCTACAAACTCATCCTCATATACAATATCAAGCATACTGTATTTTATAATAAAGTCCACATTAAAATATCACTTCATGAGCAAAAACAAGAAAAAAAGACTGAAAGTGTACAGATAACAACTATGTTATTATCTGTATGTTAAAAGGCAAATGTGATGATAGTTGTATGAATGGGAAACTATAAAAAGTGACTTGTGAAAATGAGAAACAGACAAGAAACTCAAGAACAGAAATTTAAAAGTCAGTGGAATCATCAAAAAATGCCTTAAAACAGGATGCCTTCCTTGGTGGCTCAGTGGTTAAGTGTCTGCCTTTGGCTCAGCGCGTGATCCTGGAGAATCACGTCCCACATAGGGTTCCCTGCATGGAGCCTGCTTCTCCCTCTGCCTCTCTCTCTCTCTCATGAATAAATAAAATCTTTTTTTAAAAAATGCCTTAAACAATGCCCTACTCTCTAGGACACTGAAGGACTTAGGCAGATGTGAACCAGAAGTTTATCAGCCTTCATGTGAATCTGAAACCCAGTATCTAATTATCTAGTGGGCCAGGAATCTCGGGTTTTGGATTTAAATTAAAATTATCCTGAACTAAAAAAAAAAAAAAAAATTTATCCTGAACTAGCACTCCCTATAGGCCCATGAAAGAAACAAGTGAAAACCCTTTGGGAGAAAGAAATAATCCTCCTACATCTCAATATAGTCTTCCAAATAACTGCCCACACATCTCCAGCACACAAAATAACAAAACACACAGAAATAAGACTCCATAAATGAGAATCAGATAGATAAGACCAAAAAACAGGTAAAGACTGAAAAATAAAATTGTCATTATTCACAGATTACATGATTAGTATTCTTGGAAACTCAGGAAAAATCCACAAATAATTAGACCTACTGACCTAATTAAATAAGATTTCTGAATACAAGGTCAAATACAGAAAAACCATTTGTATTCCCATATGTCAGCAGCCAGGTTCAATAATGGATTTTTTTTTTAAGGCTCCCATCACAAGATTAAAACTATCAAATACTTAGGAATAAATCTAACAAAAGATGTGCGAGGCCTCCACAAAGAAACTATAAAACCTTCCTGAGGGAAACTGGAGAAAACTAAAATAACAGAGATATGCCACAAACATGTGCCAGAAGATCAAATATTACAAATGTACCAATTCTCCTCAAATTGATGTATAGATTCAATACACTCTTAAACAAAATCAGAATAGCTTCTTCATCTGTGTGTGTGCATTTACAAGTTGATTTTAAATGTATATGTATATGCAAAGGATCAAAAATAGCCGAGACAAAAGAAAAAATTTTAGAGGAGCACCTGGGTGGCTCAGTCGGTTCAGTGTCCGACTCTTAAACTCAGCTCAGGCCTTGATCTTGGGGTCATGAGTTCAAGTCCCAAGTTGAGCTCCATGCTGAGTGTGGAGCCTACTTAAAAAAATAATAATAATAATTAGAAAAAACATAATCCAACAGAAAAATAAGTAAAAAACGTGAACAGGCATTTTACAAATGAGAAAATTTAAAGGCTGAATAAATATATGAACCTCAACCTCCTTAGTCATCAAGTAAGTACAACTTAAAACTATAGTGGAAAAACTCCACAATATAACACTCCACAACAATCAGAATGATTAATCTATATACATTGGGGGACAAAAATGTTGGTGAAAGTGTGGAGGAATTGGAGCTCTTAGATATTGTTGGTATAAATGGTCCACTTTTCTACTTTCAGCACTTTCTTTTCTTTTTTTCTTTTCTTTCAGCACTTTCTTATAAAACTAAAGATATCTGCCCTATGACTCAAAAATCCCACTCCCAGGAATTTACCCAAGAAAAATAAAAATATATGACCACAAAAGGGACTTACTTGATCCCATTTATATAAAGTCGTACAACAGGCAAAATTTAATGTGGTAGAAAAAGATTTGAATAGTGGCTGCCTTTTGGAGAACAGGAACAGGGATTTTCTGGAGCATGAGGAAACTCTCAGGGTTGATAGTAACATTCTGTACCTTGGTAAGTTTGAGCTGCACACGTTTATGCATTTGTCAGAACTCATGAATGGTACACTTAAGGAGTTGTGCATTTCATTGTATGTAAGCTTTACCTTAAATGAAGAGAACTGTTAACCAATATTGAACTCTAGCTTTTCTGTGCTGACAGTGCTCTTGCGAACATGGTGAATCCTCCTAAAACCCACTGGAACTTCTGCAAGAAGTATGGTAAGCACCAACCCCACAAAGTGACACAGTACAAGAAAGGCAGAGAGTCTCTTTATGCCCAGGGAAAGCAGCATTATGACAGGAAGCAAAGTGGCTAGGGTGGGCAGACTAAGCTGATTTTCCAGGAAAAGGCTAAACCTACAAAGATTGTCCTGAGGCTTGAATGTGTTGAGCCCAAACGCAGATCTACGAGAATGCTGTAAGAGATGCAAGCGTTCTGAACTGGGAAGAGATAAGAAACAAAAGGGTAATTGATCCAGTTCTAAGCTTCATACTTTGTTGTATTATGAAGACAATAAAAGCTTGAGGTTATATTCAAACAAGCATTGAATTCTAGTTAAGGATATGCAGGCCGTAGTATCTATTTGGTGGGAACTATACTGATTTCCATAACTTACTTTGAAAGGACAGCTATAGGAATAGAAATAATAATACAAATACAGTAAACTGTAAGTTGTAGAATCTATGTACTGAGTACATACAGATATTCACTGTAAGATTCTTTCAACTTTTCTGTATGCTTGAAACTTTTCCATTATAACTGGAGGCAAAATGACACAATGAAGATACTATTATATACTCATTCGAACTAAAATTTAGTTGGGACAATACAGATGAGAGTATAGAGCAATGGGACTCTCATAACCTACTGACAGGAGTACAAATTTGTTTGAACATTTTAGAAAATCTGGCATTATCTCATAAGTTGAAAGTAAACATATCCCATGACCTGGCAATATTTCTCCTTAAGTATATATACTAGAGCAGAGATAAGAAAACTTGTTCTAGGGTCGCCTGGGTAGCTCAGGGGTTGAGCGTCTGCCTTTGGCCCAGGGCATGATCCTGGAGTCCCCGGATCAAGTCCCGCATCTGGCTCCC